ACTTCTTGGTCTTTTTACATAGTGCCTTCAGAGGCACTGATAAGGAAAGCATCACACCCTTTTGAAGTGGTAGATAAGACATACACTTAATTGATAAGGAACCAGTCAGAAGATGCAGTGATTTGTTAGGGGCCACAAAACCACACCTGTGTTAAGAATAAATCTTAGGAGCTCTCGCCTCAGTTGCATGGTTTAATTACAACAGCACTCCCTCCTAAACAGTGAGATGATACACTGTCATTTTGTTCTGGTGCATGTTTGTGTCATATTGCAAAGTGGGTTTTGATCTAAAAAGAAAAAAAAGGAAAATATATCTTGGACAAAGCTCCTCAGAATATCATCAGAAACACTTAAAACCTGCTGAAGTTGTTTTTTTGGTGTGTTTTTTTGTTATTGTGAAATATATTGGCATGAAAATAAAGCCAATAAACAAAGCCAGTGCTGCTATTGCAAGCATTAGAAATGGCAAACTGACTTAAAAAATAATGAAACTTGTACATTAGAAATGTTAAGTTCTTTTTATCTCTCTTGTTCCTACACCAGTAGAAATCTGGCTGAGGTGTTTTTCATATTTTTACATGCAAAATTATGCATAAATTTGCGCAAGCGTACAAAATCCAGATACAGGTCCTGTGGTGACTGATGGCTCTTCTGTAAACACACAGCTCTTAATGGATGCATGTAGTATCCTTCTCTGTGTTTGTAGAACACGAAAAAGTAGTTGTAGGATAAATGATTAATTCACTTCAGACATAACACTTTTCATGCTTCATCTACGGTGAGGTTGATGTATTTCGCTTTACAATCTGGCTGCATCCTAAATGCCCTTACAAATCTCTGAAATGGGCATCTCAACAAGTCTGACTTTTCTGGAAGGACCAGCAATATCTCAGTGCATCTTAATCAAGCCAGTGGTCTGGAAAAAAAACTGCACCACCAACTTCGTTGGCTTAAGGGAACGGTATTAATTAGCTACAATTTAATGCAGGAATAGAAGATTCTTAACAATGAATACAAATATTCCCCATCCCTGGAATTGTCCAAGCCAGGTTGGACAGGGCTTGGAGCAACCTGGTCTAGTGGCAGGTGCCAGGTCAGGGGATTGGAATGAGATGATCTTTACAGTCACTTTCCACCCAAACCATTTCATGGTTCTAGGAAGTATCTATTGTTTACTAAATTGTGTATTGGCTTCATGGTCAGAAACAATTTTGCAAAGAAGCTTCAGCATATCTGATTGGATGGAAGTATGTCCTTTACTTTTGGACATTACAACAGTCTGTAGTTTCATTTCTGGAATTTCACATACAACTGTATGCACCATGTGTTTTCTTTTGTATTGAGAATAAATTCTTTTGCCATGGAAAATATTTCCTGCTTATTTTAACTGATAGAATGAAATCTTGCTGAATCTGTACTGATGAGGGTCTGTCTCTAATTCATAGAAATTATTTCTAGTTTAGGGTAGAATATTGTCTCCCGTTTTGTGATTGCATTTATGTACTTGATGCAGAATTTGTGTGTGCTGATGAGATATATCTGGATTCGTACATATTAATCTTTTTGGGTCCTAAGTGAAGTAAAATTAGTCTGACTTTTACCTTTCAAGGAGCATATTTGTCCACTTGATAAAAACCCCATGAAATTTAGTTCTCTCTCCTGGAGGAGACAAGGGGTGGAATAGCAATGGGAGTAAAAAAATCTGAGTTTGGGGGTCTAGACTGAAACAAGGGCCTTGGTTTATTCCTTTTTGACAGAGTTGGACAATGTTTTAGGCTGAGGTTTTGAAGGGTAGAATCTCCTAAAGATAACTGAGCTGTATGGGCAGTGCCTGCTGATATTTATAGCTGGTTTTAGCTGTAGCTTTTCACTTCAAAAAATCAGATTCTTGGTGCAAATTGATGACAGATCACCAGAGTGAGAGGAGATGTACTTGCACATCCTCGCTTGAGAATGTGGCCCAGACTGCTCCATGGAAACAAAAGAGAGAAGCAGATGCGCTGCTAGTTTTTGCTTTAAAATCTATTCTGCATGCCTGAAATGGAAATGTGCTCATTTGGTTTCTCATTTATTTGTCTCTAGATAATTTTTTCCTGTGGAATGCAAAGATTCCATGCCCTTTGCCCTGAAAGCCAGTGCCCTGCAGAAGACAAAGGCTAGTACCTGTCTGTTACCCCCTCGCTGTCACTGCTGCTTCACCATCCACCTCGAGGATGCCTTGACCTTGTTTAGCAGCTTTGGCTGTTTAAGATGCCAGTGCCAATGTCAGGAATCCCTCTGGTGCAGGAGGCCTCCCATTCTAAATTTATTCTCCTGGTTTATGGTCCCATCTCTGTGGCTGCAGCAGGAGGCCCCATTTGTGACTTGGGTTACCCTTTCTGCACAGAGCTCCTCACAGGACCTGCTGCCAAGGTCGTGGCAGACTGGCTGCCACCATGTGCTCTTTTGTTGCTGCTATGTAAGATCAAATTCAAATAAAATCCTGTAATTCCAATTTGGTCAAAAGGCTGTCCTTGGAACATCGTAATTTTGATATCCCAAGATGCTGATTGTGCCTCGAACTGAAGTATTCCTCGGAGAACAGCACTGCTTTTATTCTGAAGCAAAGTTGGATTATTTTGCATTTGATTAGCAACCTTTATAACATCCTGTTAGCCAGCAATAATTATTTTTAGTTGAATGCCAAGAAACAATAGGTATGGATAGACTTTGAGGGCTTTTCTTGTGCCTGTATATAAAAAAGTGTAAAAGGGACATACACAGCAGGGCAAATGTTATTTTGTCACTTATACTGGGAAAAAACTGGGAAACACATTAGTTAACATGAAAAGAAATTCAGACAAGTGGTTTTTGCCCTGCCTAGGGCAGCTGAACAGTATGAGTGGCGTGTACATGTGTGTGTAGATTTTGGGATGTTCACAAAAGCCAGCCTTAGCACCACTGACTTCTTGAGGCCATTCCAGATCACCTAAAGTGTCATTTCTGTTCCATATTGTTCCTAAAGGAACCTCACTCTCTCTACCCCCTCAAACTTTTTTTTCTTCACAAGAAATTTAACTCACTTGGGCCTTTTCAATGTATGGCACAGGAAAGACAAGTTCACTGGAAATCTAAAAGTATTTTTTAAAAGAAAATATTTCTTCTGTGCAAAGCTATATTGATGGAAAGTTGATCAGAAGTTTCCTCTAATGCCTCATTATTTAATCTGTGACCTTATTTCATCCTTCAAGTGGCTCTTGTTACCTTAGAGTACGAGCATATTATGTAGCAGAAAGTTAATAGCTTTGTTCAGTGAGGAGAAAACATGACTCTGCTGTTAAGTTGCATTGGCTGCACCACGGAAGGAGGGAGCTTTGTAAGCAGCACCTCATGAACGGTATTTATTAGCATGGCAAATATTTTTCTTTGTGCTAAACTCAAGTCTTACATGCTGCTCTTTTGTAAAGGATTAATTTACTAGTAAATTTGCTTTTGTGAATTACAAAAATTTTGAATAATAATCTTTAATTTCTCTCCTGACATAAGTTCTTTGCTTGATGGTATTTAAGTTCTGCCTGGGATTTTATAATGTTACTCTACTTGCCAGTGTTGCAATCACTCCCATTTTGTCACATACAAACACACTATGAAACCCATTTTCAGAGTATCTTCTCTTCAGTATTCTGAGTATGCAGCTTTGCTGCCAAGCGTCAGGATGGAAGTTGGTTGCATGCAAAGGGCAGGAAAACAGTGTTTAAAGGATTTTAAACATTTTAATTTTCTTTTCCTTTTGCTGAGGACTCAGATACTGATCACTGCTGGAGGGAGAGTGGTGGGACCATGGGTGAATGGTCTGACCTGGTACTACAAATCCCATGCTCCTACTTTTATGTGGAAAGGTATCATTTTCAATATGGTACCTGTATGATTCATAGTTTGTTAACCTTAGTATAAACAGGTCTTGCACTGGTCCTTTTAAGACTCTTTCTTGTCTCAGCCATTTACTATCAGTGCAGTTATTTCACGTTTAACTTACCAAGGGAGCTGCCATGTGAGACCAAACCATCATTAAAAAGGGAGGATTCAGAACTAAGATATCAACTACAGCTGTGTGGTAGAAGATTTAATCCTCACTTTGGGGCTTACAAGAGTTGCAGGTGTAGCTTGTTGATTGAAGGCTCCGTGAAGAGAAGCTGTTTCATTCCTATCACAGAAGAGTGTTTGGGACACCATTTGGGTTGCTAACACATTTCCTGTCATGTTCTTTTTCTTGGGTTGGTGATGAGCCACCATGCAGTCTGGTTTGTTGTACCAGAAGGAGGTTATTGCTTCTTTAGGAACTCCAAGTTGGACTTTGCATTTAGGTAACAAGCATCAGATCTATGTCATTTTTGTTTGCATACAGTTAACAAATACCCTCCAGCATTGAGTCACATGGATTCCAAGTTATATTGCATAAAAGATAATGTTACTATTTTGGAAAGTCTTGTGTAGGTAAATATTTTACGTTATTTCATTGTTATGAAAGTGTCCAACTGATGTTAATCAAAAAAAGAGAAGGAAAAATTAATGATAAACAACAGATCAAACAACAGATTGACCCAAAAAGGGGCAGTCTTCCAAGAAATAATGGAAGCTTTGGAATTCTTTTCCTGTTATATTTTTGGACAGTGCTAAACTCAGGCTGTGTTTTGAAGAATTTCTTTTGCTCTTTCAGCTTTAAAACAATTTACTTACATCTAGAAAAATTTGAGACTGTGCTTGTTGAACTCAAAGGAGACAAGTGTGATTTGATGCTGTCATGGTTCTGCTTTGTAAAATTGCATGTCAGGAGGTAAATAACATACAGACAGGTTTTTACCAGCCTTACTGTTTTAGACTAGGATTATACAAAAGGCTCTAATGAGATCATTAAGGCCCCAGCCACACCAACCAGCTGCTGGGGAAACTAAGGTTTTTAAGACTTAGGTTTCTTATTTAATAGAAAAAGTAAAAATCTGTTGTGTTTTATTTAATCACAGGTCAACTTTACTTCATTGATACCATAGCAGGAGATCCAGAGGTTCTGCAAGCAGATGCTGAAACATACTATGAAAAACTCTTGAAGAAGTCATTGTCCACTCCTGATGTTTTTTCCGTCCCTGGAGGAGGAGAGGTAGTAGGCTGATGTTTCTCATGCTGCAAGTTAGATACTTGCAGATTAGTTTATTAGTTGTGTTTGTGATCTTCTAATAGGGGTAAACTGGTGTGGCTGGATTGTACATCTCTTAAATCAGCAAATCCTGCATTATTTCATATAATTTGCCTGCTAAAAATGAGAGATAAGCTTAAACTCCAAGTCTAAAACCCTCTGAGTGTGGGAGAGGGTTTGAAGTACTTTGGTGAACTTTGCATCTTGACCTACCTCCTTACAGGACTGAATCAAAACCAAATTTTATAGAGATTTAATACCATGGTGCTACTCTGTATTCTGCCTCTACTGTGCAGTTTACACAGGCACTGTGATACAGTCTTTTGTTTTCCATTCTTTCCAGTACCTGTATTGGTAATTCTGAGAGTGGCTTCTCCCAAAGGAGTTCTGTTCCTAAGACACCTGGGTGGAATAGAGATGACTGAACAGGCCTATTATTTTTTTTACTGCACTCAACCTATGAAATCTTTAATTCTGGTATTTTGTAGATCATAGAAGGTGTGCTGAGGTACCTGTTATTGTACTATCAAAGCAGAAATTGGATTAGTTAAAATGAATGTTTTGAATATAGAAGCTTTTCTGCAATTTAGGAAAATAACATGCAGTAGTTTCCAGAAAAATGCTTTTCCAGGTGGGATCAGCATCGGCTTTGAGCTGGGAATGCAACAGGGTTTAAATACTCTTTTAATGCCCTCTAGTGGAGACTGTAGGGCTAAATAGCAACAGACTGAACATGCAAAGATCCCTCAGTTTAGGGCTTCTGTGTCCTTACCTTCCATGTCTGCTTGTGCTTTCAGAGGTTCATTTGCTTTTCCTGTAGAAGAGAGGGGAGGTTAAAATCCCACGCAGTGCTCTGTGTATTCTGCAATAGCCACACACGCTGAGATCAGTAGTTAAAGGTGGACTTCTGGCTTTTGATTCACAACTGTCTTGATTTTGTGGCTTGTCACCAGCCCTTAAATATATCACATGACTGATTTGAGTCTCATAGCAACACGTTTCTCTTTGCATTCATTTAATTCAGGTCTAATCTAATCTGCAGTCAGCCAGTCAAGGGCATAAGTAATGGTATTGTTCTTGCTGTATTGTCTTTTTCTTTATAGTCTGTAATAAATAGCTCAAAGAATGTTGATGTTTTGCAATTTAAAATCATTTAAATGTAATAAGGCAAAACTCCCATTCCCAGTGGACATCCCAGCTAACAATCTCTATTATAGACCCACAACCTGAAGGATGAGGGGTTTGATGTTTAAATAATGACTGCATTACCAAGCATTTTTCCCCCTTCTGCATCTGAATTAAAACAGGTTTCAAGTGGCAGGACTGGCAACAGTGCATAATTACTTAGCAGGAGTTAAGTGGCTGTCAGCCCACTTGCTGGGGTCACAGAACTTCTTTTTGGTATGGCTTGGTCAAGCATCCAGGACACAAATAGCAAGGATTACTGTGAGTGAGGATGGGAGCCCGTTGGCAGCGGCCACACACAAAGCTATGCTTGGCTCGTGCTGCTCTTGTTAACTGCTGTGAAAGTGCACATTACCTTATCAAACAAAATAACAATCATGGCAGAATTGGAAGTAGTCCTGGCCTTTTCATTATGGAAATGCTCCCAGGTGCCATAGTGACATCGATGCTGTTATGTTTGAAGCATGCAAAGAACAACTGAATCCCCAGATTTAGGCAAGCTCATGAATACAGATTTCAAGCAGTTTTAATTTTTATTTTTTTTTTTCCTGGAGTCCAGTGTTTGCCTAGATGCTTCCAGGATTCTGGCACTCATCAACTAGTGAGCACTGGTTTCAGCTTGGAGTTTTTATCCTGAATAATCCATATTCATATTTCTTCCATGTACCAAGAAATATTAAATGTAACACGTGACTGATTTGAGTTTCATAGCAAACTGACAAATGGGTGCAATTAGAGAGAGAGGCACACCCACACATACACAATGGACCAGATTTTGGAAAGTACAGTACATACTGTGCTAAGTCATGCACGCTCTTTGCCTGTACCTAAACTTACATGACAGCATTTGCAATATTCATATGGAAATCGTCATTTCTATGCATATAGAGCTGTTTGATCGCAGTAATTTTGTGTTTATGTGTCACATCATTTAGAAGTTTAGTCTAAGAGCAAAAGCTTGAGAGCTGCATTTTGATTTTAGCTTTGCCTTCAACTTAACCACCTTGTGCCAATTATGTACCCTCGCTGTGCCTGGAAGATAAACTGCCCAGGCACTGCCCTAATGCTTTGATACTCCCTGTACCCTGAGGCTTAATTCATTGTTTGCAAAACACCACAAGTACTCAGCTGGAGGATGCTGTAAGAAGTGCAAGTTGTATTTGTTTTCATTTGATGTGTCTGATCTTTCATAACACCATTTGTCTGCATGTGACAATGTTCAAAGCCAGGTTATGTACTAACCAGGGCAAGTCAGCATGAAGGTCTTCACTAACTTCAGTAGCTTGATTTATTTTAAGTTAACTTTCCTTATGGATAACATTAGAATATTATGTGTATTTCAGTGCCTTGAAATTGAGGATTGTGAGGGTGTTGTGCTAAGCTTGTGCCATGTGTGTCAGCAAAGCATGTCAATAAAACATGTCATAAGTGCATCTGATACATGAAGTACTTGTTGTGAGCTTTGCAGTGCGAAGTGCTACAGGGCTTGTTTGTTTTTTTAGGTTAAACTTGAAGATTCCTGTGTGTGTTTTGTCCCTCTCTACCGAAATAATCCTACTTGCAAACTGTTGCTGTTAACTGATCCAAAGGATAAAGAGACAGGTTAGAATTGGTCAAAATATTTTGAAACTTGGGTAGTTGTAATTTCTTTAAGATGGTCTGTTTGTTTGTGTATTTAAATATTCTGGGTTTTGTTTTGAATTTGAAGTGGTTTCAGTTTATCTGTCAAGGATTTGTATCAGTGGACTGCTGATTAGATGGAAGAATTGACAATTGGGGCTCTTAAATTCTATGCATAAATTCTCTGCTGGTACCTGAAAAAGCACCTTGGGTAAATCTGTTATTCTTTCTGACTTTATTCAACAGGATAATATTTTTCTAATTCAGAATGATGTGAAATTTAACACATTATGGTTTGGATAGAATCCTGAAAGGCTTAAGCAATAAAATACAGGTATGAAATTGTATTGCTTCTTACTGATTATTATTCATATTCTTTTTTCACTTCATGATATTTTTTTCAGTCCTAGGTTTATTTACCTTTTATTTCCAGTACTGGTGTGTAAGGGCTATCTACTGGTGTGTAGATTAAATGAGGAGTGTTGGTATTGTGAAGCAATAGGCTGTAGAATGTTTGGAATATCTGCAACGAGGACATGAACTTTTGCATTGACTCACTGTGTCACTTAGGAAATACAGAACACATGAAACCTCTTAAACTTCCAGCTTCCAAATGTGCCAGCTAATGACATCATTAAAAGTGTACTTTTAAAAAAAGGATAAGCTATAAATTATGCCTGAAAGGCTTCAATAGCCAATATTCTTAATAATAAAGCAAAGGCAAAGCAAAATTCTCTGTTCAGTTCTAAGTGTGGTAGGTAACGATCTTGCACTCCTAGAACAGGTTCTCTTAGTGTAAGTTTTCATTGTTCAGTCCTATTCTGTAACCAGGAGATTTCTTCAGAAGAACAAAAGGTAGATTAAAATCACCTGTGGTTAGAGGTGAACTCTGCAGTTTTCCAGCTCCTTCTACACAGGATTTCAGCTGGACCTTTGCTAATGGGCTGTGATTCACAGGAGAAGGTAGGAGACCTTTCCAAGTTCCAAGTGTAGTCAAAAGACTTTCTGGTCCCTCTGAAGCTATTGATGTAGAATTACTCTTCTGACACTAATTTATGTATTCCATTAATGTTTTTCTGAAGAGCGGTATGCACTGGTGTGATAAAGGGGAGAAGCATCTACACCAGAGGCCAGACTTGCTCTTGGTGCAGTTGTGCTCTCCTGACTCATGTTCAAAGGAATGTAGCTGAAAACAGCACTGAGTTAGTTTAGGCTGCACAAGAGGAATTTGGATCTGTAATTACAATGCAGAAATAAAGAATTATTAAATAGATGCAGGTGAAAGTGCATTTAGCACAGCTCTTCAGTTAAATGATCTCATAGTATTAGGAACAAGAAGTATTAATGAGATACAAGCACACAAGGAAAAATGATTTCTCACAGGAACAGGTCAAACAAGTCCAATTGGAGCCTAAATTACCCGATAGCTATCTTCATCAAATGTTTAAACCTAGCAGAATAAACACCTTATTATATTACAAACAACAGCCTGACTGACTGCTGTGACCCTCCCTTGCAAAATTTCAGCTTAAATTACCAGTCCAGAGTCAGAGGAACAGAGAGATCTCTAAGCCTGGTTATTTAAATAAGGCCTACATCACGTAGTTTTTGTTGTTTCCTTCCAAAAGTGTGATTTAAAGGATTTTTTGGAAGTTCTTTATTTCTTAATTTTATATACTGTAAACATGTGGCCGGTCTTCCTGCATACATCAGATTTGACTGATGTGATTTTATTTATTTTTTTTTTCTTTACATGAGTTTTAATAAATTTTCATTAGTTCTTTAAAGCCTTCTGGGATGTATGTGCATACCTACACATATGGGTATATACATTTGAAGTATTTTGTCCTAAAATTTTTCCCACATCTCAGCAGATTTGGAATTGACTCTCAGGGTGGCAGACTGTGCTAATGGGCCAACTCCACCTGGATTTGCTCACCTACATGACCTTTTGTTCTGACCAGTGAACAGATCAAATTAATTCAAAACCAACTCCTTCAGAGAAAGGCAATATATTTTAACTTAGTCTTTGTTATTTTAAGGACATTAAATGATAACATTTAACAGGTTACATAATTTTCTTTTCCTGGCTTGAGATTTGCACTTTTCTTGTGAAACAAGTGTCATCCAGATGGAAGAAGGGAACAATCTTGCTGTAGTTGATCTCTTCCTCCACCTGTCCACTGCATCTGCATTTTAGTTCTCTTCCACACAGCAGGAGCACTCTTAGAAGCAAATTTCCTCGTAGGCCCCACATACTGTGTTTCAGTTTGGTGGCATTTAATTCTTGAAAATTGGTTTAAACAGGGGTGGATTCTACTGCTGAGATTTATTTCTGATCATCTTGATAAGATGGGTTGTCCAGAAGTGATGTGTAGCTTGTGGTTTGAAATGATCTGCATATTTCAAAGAGAAAATGGGTATGGCAGCTTTTCTGTAGGACTTGGTCTTGGTTGGAAGCATTTTTAATTTATTTTTGATGGGCTGAGTGTTGTGTTCTGTTAGTATATCTGTACAGATATTTTTATGAGAATGTAAATTGCATTGTAAAGGCTTACAGAGCATAACATGGGTGATTAACATCTTTATAACACTAAATAAACATACCTTATTGTGGCATTTTCTGTATGCTGCATCTAATAATTCACAATAACTGTGAGATGCCTTGGAACATTTATCACAAGACATTTGCAACAAATCACAGAGTGAAGCTTGAATTGTAGAAGAAAATGTGACTGGCTGCAGGAAAGATCAATCTGAGATACTTGAATGGCTGCCATTCCAGCAGGAATCTACCTGCCTCCCAAGCTTTAATGTATTTGTTTTGATAAAATTCCTAGAAAAGAGTGGGAAATGCTCTTATTCCATTATAAAGACAGGGAACCAGCTAGCTCAGGATATGTTGATGCTGCAGAATGCAGTTCAAAGTAGGATACTGGAGCTTGTTCCAGTATCAGAGTATTTCCACAGTGGAAGTCTTGGAGAAGCGACCTCTAAGCCTGTCAACAATCTGAAATAGTGACAGAATTAAGGTAAATAATAATGATTTTACAGAAAGTACCACTACTTTATCTCAGATATTTATTAAACAAACTCTAATTACATCTCTCATATGTGTCGTCACCTTTATTTAATTTGTAACTGAGGGATGTGTTTCAGCAATTCAGATAAGTCAGGGGAAAAAGATGGGCCAAGCTGGATGTTGCTTTATTTTTTCTTCTTTGCTCTGTGTGTAGAATCCTGATGTGCGCATTTCATTTAAATAGTTGCACACCAGTGTGGGAACATTTGGCCAGCATAGCCTAGCAAGTAAAAATATAATCCAGGCCTGAATTAGGAAGAGATCCATGTTTGCCCAGCAAAAGTAGACATTTCATAATCACTATTGCATTATGCTAATTCAGCTCAGTCCTGGATTGCAAACACCCTGTGCTGTGGAATCCTGTGCTCCGCTGCCTGTCAGCTTCTTGGAACGCTGTGTTTGTCTGAGTGCAGGTGATGAAAGTACTCAGGTTTATCAAGCTGGTGCTTACAGGGAAAGCCACCCACCTGAGTATGTGTAAACCCCATTAATTGTGACCTGAAATGCATTTCACCTGGTCTTGCAACTGCAAGATCCAGCACATCAGGCCCTGCAGTGGCAAGGTCACTGTACTTACACACATCATGATTCACAGGGTTCAGGTGATGTGTGTTGGCAATAACTCCATCTCTCGTGATCAGGTGAACTTAACTGAATGTTTTGGAAAGAACGAGAAGACTGGGAAGAGAGAGAGAGGAAGCATGTGGTCTCACAAATCATGTTTGCATTTGAAACAGTGTTCCTCAAAGTTGATTATAAAATGGAAATGAGAGTATGGGGAAGCATGGATGGATTTAACTGTGGACCAGATGTTGACTTGAAAAATGGTAACAAAAAGCAAAGTACGTATGTTTGTGTGAAATTTGGAGAAATGTTTTTCCTTCAAGGAAGGCATCCATATAGATAAGGTTGCTCAAGTAATGTGATGTGACAGTTGCTATGTCAACTAGTGTTCCCTTCCACACATTTAAATTATTGAATAGCACAGTAAATGTTCTATAAAAGCAACTCCTTCCAACATGGTCATACATCTTCCTGTTTTCCTCAAAGCTTTGAAGAACTTTTCTGACCTTTACTATGTGTCTTGTATGTCTGAACTGTGTGCCAAACCTCTTTGCAGCTCTTATTAAAGTCAGCATTTGGCCTATTATGTCCCCTTTGTGCGACTCAGCTCCCTTTGTAGCTGCATGTTTCATGGATGTGTAATGGAGCAGTGGCTGCTGCATTTGAAAGCAGAGGGAAGGGTTTGAGGGAACAGATTGAATCCATCACAGAAACTGAGTATGAAAATCCCATGCAAGTAAGTGCATAATACTTAATGAATTGAGTCTGGTGCTATAAACAGGCATCTGCCCTTGCGTGCAATACTTCTTCCTTGTTAACCCAGCACACAAAATGTAATGCTTTCTGGCACATGCTTTAATAATTCATTGGAAATATAAGTTAGCTAAGCCGAATCCCCAGCCTTAAAGCCAGCAGGCGTGATAGAGTCTGAAGCAAAAAGGGAAATTAACCTGTGTGCGTCAGTGACATTTGTATAACCTGAGGCTAAAACAGGTAAATGATGAATCCTGTCCTTAAAGTAATTTAATTTCCTTGTGTGTGAATTTGTCTCTAACTCACAGATGGTTTTGAACTTTCTATTTGTCTGTAGCTGGCTAGGTTAGAGCCAGTTGTTCGAGCACTCTTTTAGGACTCAGGACATGTGAACTCTGTGCTGTTCTTTGCAACATTCTCCCTATATTATATTCTATCTTTCTATATAAAAATGGACATGGTAGGTGCCCTGTTTAGAGATATTAAAGATACTGGTGCTCTTGAGCAATCCTGAAATTGTGGCCATGTACTACTTTAGCTGAATGTCACCAGTGTACAGATACTAAAAGTGCTTTTGCTGAAATATTTGCTGTTTGATGTGTTTGTGGTCATAAATGATCAGATTTCTGTGTTTATTCCAAAACCTCATCTAAACACTTAAAATTTATTCTCTATCCTTTGAAATGACCCCATGTCAAAACTTTTCTTTCTGAACAAGGCTTGGAAGTAATTTCGGTGTCACTGTTACTTCTTCAAGTCTTTTCCTTGTAAATCTATTGGCAGGCAATGAATTCTGTAGATGAACATGTAGGAGTAGGGTTTAAATACTTGTTCCTGCAAATGTGAAAAATTGAGGAAGGATGGGAAGAAGTGGGGTGCAAGTTTTGCATCACACCTACATGAGGACTTGACTTACGTGGGTTGCTGATACACTTTTGCTTCAGGGCAAAGTGTACCTTATTATGTGTGTCTATGTCTGTCTTTTGTTGATAGAAACCTTTCTGTGTGCATTTGAACCTCTGAGAATATCTGGCCATGCATAGATTTAGGAGTTTGTACTCAAAAGGTACCCATAGATAGAAATTTAATCATAGAGAGAGCTGAAAAGCTGTTTGATAAAGCAGATACGAGAATTTTTGTGTTTGACTTGCATGAGTGCAAATATGTGCACTCAAATCTATGCAAATATGTGTGTGTGGGCTGGAGAAAGTTTGAAAGAAACTTGAAAACTGTAACCTTTATCCAGGTAGCTCCTCTGTCCCAAGTGCCACTCAAACCTACTGTGCTACAGAACTTACTATTAAGCAGGAAGTGCTTTATTCATATGGAGCACAGGCTGTCACACCAAAGTCACATCAGCTCCCGAGAAGAATTGCCTTCCCTTGATGCCTCGTGCAGTACTGAAAATTGGATATCAAGGGACGCGGAGGTGAAATTGAAATACACTTGTTGTTCTGGTGTCACAGCAGAACAGACTGGAGTCAGCTGGAGGGAGAAGTAGATCTGAGGTTGCCTGTGGAAAAATTCACATTTTGAATGTGAAGAAGAATGCACTTTGTATTTGTGGGTAACGTGTTCCCATGTTTTTGTTTTTGTAGTTTTGGCAGTTTATTTGAGCCAGCGTTGGTGGCCTGTGGAAGATGTTGTGAAGACGGCTGATCCTGCTAGAGATGGGCTTGTTTTGGTGAGGATGCTATTTTGATCAGTTGCCTTTAGCCTGAAGCTTCACAGCCAGAACAGTCATATGGAATTGTCTCTGGTCTCCTACAGCTCCTGCTCTGAACCTGTGGGATCTGGGCTCTGTGGCTCACCAAGTGCTTCATGTCTCCTGGACACAGTGACATGCACATTAGCCCTCTCTAAACAATTCTGTGCATGCAGTTTATGATTCATCTGTGGGATTTATTTTCTTTTGGTTTTTAGTTTACCCTCACTGCCTACTAAAGGAATAATCATAAACTGAATTACTACATTAGCAATAATTTCTCACATTAACTGTCTGGTGGGAGGTGTTACTACCCTTTGGAACAATGACTTATCTAGCTAGTTAGGATTTTTTTTTCCTTGGATAATGTTTATATTGTGTTCATTTGTTTTCAACTAAAATATGAGATGCCTGCTGATTATGAGCTTTGTGTTGCCATGAGGTTATTAAGTCAGTTTTGTTTCCTACTCAACCCTCAGTATCTTTGGTCCTTAATGATTCTATTCCTTTATCATCTTTTCCTGTCACACGTAGAGTTTAATTATTTGCAGAATTAAGTAGGCTTTTTATGGGTAACTGAACTGGAGGGATTTTGAGATAACAAACAATCCTTGCAAAATAGAACTTGGAGGAGGAACACAGGCCTTGAAGCTTTCAAGCATCTCTGTATCAACAGAGAATGAAAATAATGTCTGAAAATGGAAATCTTACCCCCTTTAGCTCATTGTGAAAAGGTAAATTGCTGTTATTTGTGGAAACTCTAATTTCTTTTTCAGCATTTGTGTGAAGCTTTTTGGCACCAGTTTTTACCTTGATGGTCAATATAATCTTGTTCTTTTGTATTCCTCCATCTCCCTCTCCTGTCAGTTGTCTCCTATATAGTATAATTGTTTATGTAACATCTAGATTATAGCTGGTTAGGACAGACTATTCTCTGTTTTGTATAGTGTCTATCCAGTAAGGTCTTGGCCCACTAAATTCTTCAATGCTGTGGCAACACAGGTAATGGGGAGAGGTGAGCAGGCCCACAGAGTGAATCCAATCTTTCTTTCACTTTTGAGTAGGAATAGATTGCCTTGATCCTGGTTCCAAATCTGTAACTAGTTCACTGTGACTGCAATCAAGATACTTCTGCTGCTTTAGAATTCCTCTCTCTGACAACAAGAGATATGTCAAGCTTTATAAATAGTTACTAAATTATTCTATGCCCACTGGATAGAGGGCAAAACACGAGGAAAAGCTGTTTTTGTTATTCTAGCTGAACCAACTCAGGAGGCATTTTCCCCAAATTAAGTGTACATGTTTCCTGACCTCTTCCTTCCCAGCCTCTTTTAATTTTGAAACCTTTCATGAGATGCAAAATACTATGCCTCATTTTTCTTTGGTCTGTTTTTGTTTGTTCTCTAAGGTCCAGACATTTGGAGAAAGGATTGTCCTCTTTGTTCTGAACTGCATTATTTTTGGAATGCTGGAAGGGAGTTCAGCTAATGATGCATTCTTTCTACCTCACTCTGCCACCGAACGTGCCAAGATACTCTGGAGAAGCGGCGAGGCTGCTGCCTTTTATTCGGTCAAGATGAAAGGTAAGGTCATTTTAGAGACACAATTTCACTGTTCCTAATAGCTAGAAATGTAATCCTTTTGTTTATCTATCAGTATAAATAATCCTGGCTCTCATTTACGTTTTTATATGAAATCTCCCTCAGAATTAATCTAGGGAACAAACCTTCCTGGAATTTTGAAGCCATCCATGTTACTTTCATTTAAACATGATAGTTCCAAACCCTATTCTGATCTGAGGTACTGGCTTACTCCAATAAAATGTGTTTTAATGCAGCCAAGTAGGAGGTCGTACATCTAGGAACAAAGAATGTAGGGCCTATGCACAGGATAGGAGGACTGCATCCTGGAAAGAATGATACCTGAAAAAGGAGTGCAGTTCCCAGTGGGAAAATGTATTGGGAGTTGGTGGTGGCAAGGAGAGGATCCTTGGATGTGTTGTGTAGAGGAAGGTGTGTGCGCTAGATCAGTCCTGGAATGCTTTGTGCAGTTGTACTCCCAGTTTAAAGGATGATGATGATGATGAATTGATTTCATCATTAATTGATTAAGTGTCATAGAAAAGAAACAAAATGTGTTTTAATTCTTTAGGGATACTTGATTAGCTTTAGTTAAGATCTTTTACTAAACACAAAGTCTGTATTAATGCAAATAATTGCTGTTAACTAGTCTGGAGTGGAAGAGGCTTAATTGGAATAATACCAGGTATGCAGTTGAGCCTGTGCCCCCATGCCAGGAGCTGGTTCCCAGTCTGTGTTTAAGATTCATGGGAATCACCTTCACAGAGAAGGTGGGGTCTTTGGAAGTAAAATACTGTCCAAGTCAGGACTCAGTAGCCATCCATCCAAAATGGGAGAAAAAGAAGCAGCTGGAGAGATGGGTTGTTTTGGATTCAAGAGGACACTCTGAAGGTGCCTTCCCTGCTGCAGTCCCAAAGGCCAGCAACAATAAGATGTTCTTCTCCTTAGGATGGAAAAATCCTGATACACACAGAGGTGTAGCTTGTACAGACCATCAGTGAGGAATCAGGACTCAGCCTATGATCAAGGAGCCTTATCTGTATCTCTGATTAGGTTGATGAACTGGTTTGTAACGGCAAACACAAGTACATTTTCCTTTAAGTCCATAAATATTCCTGAGCAAAGCTTTTGGAAAGAAACACTTGTAGGGGCTGTAATGATTCATGCTTCAGTAAAATAAATGTGCACAGTAGTCTGTTATGGGTGGAGTATTAGCCAAGTTGAAACTGTTTCTGAGTAAGTTGAGAGTCACAGTTTGGTTTTAAACCAGGTCCACATAAAATACAAATCCTTCAAGTCCAGCTTTGTCAGCATCTGCCTTTTCTTGCCAGTTTTTTTTCTTCTGGGCAGCTATATTTATTAGTTTTTGGCCTGTGTCACAAATTACTGCAGTCTTTTGCCAAAGCCTTTTCGGGAAGCTTGAAACTGATTGTTTTTGCTGCTTTTTGCTATTTGATGTATGCATTTAGAAAATAATTCCTCTTTCTGAAGTTCTGTGATTTCAATTTCATACCAGCCATGCTGTGGCTGATTTTATTCTCTCTACTTTTTAGAAGAGCCCTGGATTTATTAGGCCCAAAACAGACTAAGACAAATATCTTCACTTGGAAGCTGTATTTCACATGGTTGTTTTACATATTTTCATAATTTATTTTTCTAAATCTTAATGTAAGTTCTTTTTCCTTTTGCTGTCCTGGTCAGAACATTTAGTAGAGGAAGCTTTAACTACAGGAGTTTATATTGTGTTGGACCTCTGTTACAGCTTCTGGTCCTAGGAAAAAAATTTTCCTTTGTGCCCACCATGTGATTCTGATTCCCTTTATTTCCATGCTCTGCAATTACCTGACCATTCTTTCCAGTTTGATTTTCTTCACTGGGTAATTGAGATTCTCATATTGATGTTGTATTCAACTGTACTTCTCATCTGTGAATTTTCCATTTTCTACAGCATGACAAAAAAACATGCTTCAGTGGAGGCAGATAGGCCAGAAAAGGTCTGTGGAGCCTGCCTCTTTCAAACATAAGTCTTTTGAGTGAATCACAGAAATTGTGACCAAGGAACAGAGAGTCTGTTCTATCTTTGCAAATTTAAGTGTCGTTATGAAAACTAAATTTTCAATGGACTTCAGTGCTTCCATTTAACTATATTGGCAATATTGTAATTAATTTCCATTTTCCAGTTCCTAGGTGGTCTTCACAAAGTAAACTCGGTAATTTTGGTCCAGTTCCATGCTTCCATCCGTCTTATGACCATCCTTAACTGGATCTCTTTTAATAGTCCAGCTAAGGAGGCACAGATGGTCTCGAGCACCCGCCTTGTTCAGAGATGCAGTAACTACTGCAAGCCAAAGTTTTGAGACAATTTGGCCACTTCTGGCACTGGCCACCCTGCACCTGCTGTGCAGATAAACAGAAATCTCATTCTTCAATGAGAAGAGCTATCACTTTTCTTGAGCATTAGACACCTTTATTAAAGCACAATTTATTCATGACTACACAGATCATCAACTTGGCCTCTCTGGAATGTGCCTATTCCTGTCCAATGACAGGCATGCTGCATTTACCACTGGGTATACTAAAGATTGATGAGATGTACTAAGCCACTAATGAGGCTGATAAGACACTTTGTCACGTGCCAAGATAAATGTCTCCAATTTTATCTATGTCAGCAGCTTCCATATCAGACAGCTGAGCAGTTAGACCTCACTAAATGGAGCTACTTAAAGGTATGATAGGAAATGATGGTTCCCTCTTCCTGTACCTTTCTCTGCAGGCAGTAACCTGAAAATGAAATATTTTGCAGAAAGCCTTCATACAAATACTTGGGGTTTTGGATCTGTTTTATATTGTTTAAAGTATTTATTTTGTGCTCTGTGTAAAAAGCTCAGAAAGAATGTGTTCTGTGTAGTGATGTAGGATTAATTACCACGGTTACTGACACTTGTTTCTTGTGCAGTGAGAGCAATTCCCTGAAAGTTTTTCCTTTCTTATTTACTGAGGACTAGTAATTACTGGAAATGGACTTTACTACCTTCACATAAATGCTGGGAGAATGTAGAAGATTCATGATGCAAATAAATCAATAAGAAGTTGGAGGATGCAATGAGCCAAGAGTGTCTTGGTGCTTTTGAGAACAAACCAGAACAAAATCCCTTTTTTATAGACTTTATTTTCCCCCCCTACTGTTATGTATTACTGTCACTGTAGCACATATGAGCTGCCCAGCTGCAGACCAAGCTATCTGTGGTATGAAAAACAAAAGAGTCAGATTGTCAAAGCTTGTCCCTTCCCTCCTGACAAATCTTAATAGTAGAAGTGTGGAGTGATGTGAATCAAACCAGCCTTAACCCAACTCTGAGAAGGCTGTAAAACATATAGGTGTATCAGGAGTAAATGCATTGTTGGCTTCTTATTCATTCTTTAGAAATGCTCCACAAGTCACAGTTTGGGAGCACCTGACTGCAAAAACTCTTCAGCAGACATGGAGTAAGCAGAAAAGCAACCCTGGCCTAATCTCTGCTTTTTTCCTACACCAGAGCCTTAGAGATGGTCTTTGGAAGTGGCTTCTTGAGCTCAAATTCATTTCACACTTTTCTTCATACAAGCCTTTGGAAATATCTTTCGATACTGTGACCCAGGTGCTAGTCTGTAGAAAAAGATCCTTAGAAAGGTAACAGGATTTTAGTTTTTCATCAATTACGTACATTTCTTTTAGAAAAAAATAAATTTGGCATTGAAGTTAACCTGACAGACAATTAGCTGAAATCTTGTTGAATAATTGCTTTTGTCTCCCTCTGTTTGCTAGCAATAATAATATTTTTAATGTGCATTTCTGAGGCAGATTGAAGGTTCTGGCTGTAATGAAAATGAAATTACTACATACCAGTCCAGACATGAATTCATTTAATTTTATTGAAGCCAGAACCTTTGTTCTCCTTCTCACATACAAACTCACACAATGGGTTGACCTTGGGTTCTGCTCTACAGAAATATTCCCCACCCTTTACACAAGCGCTCAGGCTGCTCCAGGCCTGTCCAAACATGTGTGTGCCAAGCCAACTTGTTCAGCAGGGAAATAGTCAGTGTGCACAACTTTGTTTTGTTTGGGTCTGTTGGATGTGGAGACCAGATTGTTTTTTTTTTTTCTGGTTTGTGGCTCTTCAGATTGGCTAATGGCTGTCTGCTTTCCTGCTTTCCTGCCCTTGTAATATCTGTTTGCCATTTTGCTGGCTCCTAAGTTGGTCATTTGGCACTCATGACCTAACCAAGCAGATCAAAGGCTTTCCAAGAGCAGACTGCATGAATGCTTCCCTCTCCATCACCAATGCCCTTATTTTCCCTGTCTCCTCCCTCACCTCAAAACTTTGTCTGTGTATTCCAACAGTGAAACAGACCTCTCAACCAAATGTGTGAGAGCCCAGTGGCCACCTCCAGGCCACCATTAGCTTACAGTAACCTTGTGCTATTTGATGGGAAACAGGGACAAAGTGGCCTTTGTTCCAAAGGTTGGTTTGTTTGTTTATTTTATTTTGAATGCCTGTGGGCTGTGACTCTCCTAATGTGTTTCCCAGGGACAAGGTGAAGAATGGCTTCATGGTTTCTTTATTTATGGTGCCTTTAGACATGACAAGTTTTTGTCATCTTCTCAACACAAAATTAGGAGCTCAGGCATAAATCACTCAGCTCCTGGGATTGCTGCACAGCATCCTCATCAGGATATATCGGAGACAGACTATATGAGATAACAATAAACTTAAAAGAACACTTTCAACATGCAGGAATTCTTAAAGACTTGATGAGGAAAAGTTTGTCCCTTAGAATGGATGGTGCAATTCTGCTGGAATTTGACATCTCTCTTGGGTTGGCAGCTGACAATGGGACCAGGGATATACTCAATTTTTTGGCTCATAACAAAAAGAGTAACTGCCCGTCATGTGTTACAAGTATTGAAAGGTTATAAACACCACCACAACCCATCCTTTTCCAAAAATGTTTGAAGTTCTATTTTTATGGTATTTTGTACTGAATGGAAGTGCAGCAATTAGACCCTAGGTTGGTTAGGGTGAACATCAAAATTTTGGATGCAGAATGTCTGTTCTTAATCAATTCTCTCTTGATTCCAGTTTGAGTTTACCATTTGCGATTGCAAAATAAATCCCTTGGTTCTGTGTTTTGGGGTTTTTTGGACAATTTTCACTGAGAACTTGTTTTAATAGTTTGGAGGCTTATGCTTGAATCTGTATTTTGTCCACATGTAGAGCATTATGTCAAGACCCTGTGATTTCAGTTAACTGAGTTAATGTGTTTGTTAGCAAGGACTGTCCTTGAGTGAAACCCCAGGTTTAACACTGATATTGGTAGTTCAAGTAATGGAATAGAACACCTACATATGTAATAAATCATCACTCAGTAGAAATGGAGTAACTTAAAAGGAGCTCTTACTGTGCTTTCTTAAAGTGCCCCACTCAGTTGCTTATTTAAAGGAGTATGCGGACATTGAATTCAGAATATTTATATCTATTTGGTTTTAGACCATTTATATCTTTTCAATGAGCTTTCCTATATACGTTGCCTGTGCACCAAGATAGTGTGATTATGAAGAATCAGAGTCTGGAAAAGACTCTGGTGAGACCTGTCAGCCACATCTTAGGCAGGTCCTCTCCATTTCATGGCACCAAGTAATCCTCCAGGAAAGTGTTTTACTCCTTATGCAAATACACTTTAGCTGGGATCATCCTCACAGCCTGTGGGAAGGTACAGGGCAGTGTGTGTGGCTGAAATCACACAGCAGTTAGTGCAGCAATACTGATTTTGTTTGCAAATGGATGTGTTTTTCCCTGTCTGTTTTCAGGGAGCCTGTGTGATGGTACAACCAGCCAGTGCTACCTGCTGCCAGTTTTGGATACTATATTCGTCCGGAGAAAGTACAGAAGAGGTGGCCTAGGGATGAAAATGTTGCATGATTTCTGTCAGTCTTTCCTGGCTGAGGATGCCTTGGGGATCAGCTGCCCTATTTCTGCTGCCATGTATCAAGGTAAATCCTTTGATGTGGACACGTTAGGTAAGGGTCATGTATAATGTATAATTTTCAATATGGTCTTGGTAAGATTGTCTTCACTGTGTAAGAGTTCAGTGCCCTTGTCTGAACTTAACCGTTGTTAGCCTGCAACTGGTTCCTTTTCCAGAGCCATCTGGAATTTCCTGTGGAAAGGTAGGCCAATATTTATGTAAGACAACAAAAAGCACAAAACTCAGTGCCTGTTTGACATTTTGTGTTCCTAGAACTGTTCTCTTGTAGAACTATGTCATTGCCCTAGACAGGGACTTACACATTTTATTTGACACCACAGGGAAAAGACTTGTAAGATCTTGTCAAGCCCACACTATGCACATAATGCTCTTGTAGATCTTGCATTTTTAAGAAATTACATTTAATAAGCCAAATACCCAGGCTCTACTCAGTCATCCAGTTACATCAGTACTTGTTTTGTATCAACTGTCTTTGAACATTTGACACTTTTAAAAGATCACAAAGTAGTCATATATCTTCTCTGTCTTCAGGTCAAAACTCTGGTTTTGCTAGTAAAAGTCACAGAAAAAAATCAGTGCTCACGTTATTTATGAAACTCTTTAGAAAAGTACTTTTTTCTGAGATTGCTCTCTGTGTAATGCAGTCTTCACAATCATTTTTTTTTGAGATGTGTTGATTTACTTGCAGCTTTCTGGTTATTTCCTAATAAATGTCAACAGAATTTTGGCTACATCTATTCTTTCTCTTGGTTGTGACGTGCCCTTGAATGTATTCAAAAGCATCTGAGCAGGTACTGCTACTTCTAAATTCAGGAGGGAATAATATTGACAGCATTCCTTCTCCCAATAATATCCATTCTTCCTTTGGCAGACCTCAGGGCTTTAGAAACTCTGGATGAGAAAGCTGCATTTCTTATGTGTTAACACTAGCAATATATTGGAAGACTGTGCTTTTGTCTCAATTAAGTTTAGAGCTAATATTGAATAAATTTGACTTGCATCATGTTTTAATTAGGTTTTCTTTTATAAAAAAACCAATACTGTAAGTTAAATTTTGAGCGTATTGAAGTCACTGTCTGCTTTTAATTTCATTGGAACCACATTTTCATACTTTGACAAATGAATGCAACCTTTAAATCTCTGTACTGAAATCTCTGAGGCTGTGGACAGTTTATTTAACATGGACGTGGTATTTAAGCTGCTGTAGATGCCCAAAAGGGAGGAAGAAGCTTTGTAGCACATATCTGGGTTTCTAGTATGTGTTAGTTTTAGGAGCTTTTATTGGAATGATTAATTTAGTCTGGATATCCTTGTATAAAATTAATGTCTGTGATCTGCTCATTACTGTAAGGCAAATGTTTACATACCAGAATTAGGGTTTTTTTTTGACATCCTATTGTTAAACTCAACTGAATGTTGAAGATAAATTTCCCATTCTGTAGAACGATGAACTACAGTGGACAGAGTATGACAGCGATTTTGTTGTTTACAGATCACTATCTTAGTGCAGTTGATGCAAGTGATATGATGGCAGTTAAGGGAAGTTAAAAAATCTCCTTTATGTTTAAATGCTTTGAACTGTTTGTTCTACAGCATGTGCCTCTTCTTGACACTGCACACATCCTAAGGATACCACTAAATAGAACATACTTCAGTTTGATAACATAAGCAGATCTAAATTCGATAGTTTATCCAAGTTTTTGGATGGTCAATGTGCACTGACAGTGATAGGAATCTGTGGCAATAAGGTTTTTAAAGGTGATTGTACATCTGTCACAGGCATCCTGTACTTTTTCTGTTGTTTCTTCCCATTTCTGTTTTTTCCACATCCAAAGAAATAAATGAACCTAGCAATGGGGCATAGGTTAACAGTAGTGAAAAGGAGGGTGGTTTTGGCCCAAAACCAAACTGAGGCAGAGTTTTTCTTTATAAACAGAAATTAAAGTAGCAATCTGAATGGTTAAAGCTGGAAGATAGAGGAACACCTTTCCTTTCAGAGTAGTGAGGGTAAAAACCCCACACTGCTGTAGGTCTGAAACTACTGAGTGTCTGGACATTGTTCTGTGCTGCCTTGCCAGAAGAAGGTGCTCAGCAAATCATTTCAAGTCCTTTGTTTCTGCACTCACAAGGAAATAAACTGGACTGAAGCAGACAGGATTCACTCGTGACTGTTTAGGCCATTCCACATAGGCTTTTAGTAAAAGTCCCAGCTAAAACAAAGAGGAAGAAGATGAGAAGGGAGAAGAAAGCTATCCAAAGGAAGTAATGAAAGTAGGTCTGAGAGAATTTCTTTGCATAGAACACACTCCCTCTTCTGATGTACTTTTCACTCACTCATACTTTTACCCCTTGGTTTCTCCTTTCAGTATGCCAGAAATTCCTGCAAGCTCATCCTGAGGAGCAGAAGCGACTGTGGGAAGTGGAAGCACCAGGAGATTGGAGCCAACGAGTGAATATCTGGTTAAAAATTCAGATGGAGTCATCTCCTTCAGGAAGTGAGTTAAAACAGTGTGAACTTGTCTGTGTTATAGTTCTATAAAGATAAGAAATGTAATCAAAGGTTAGGTAGTGATCATGGAGAGGTGATGTCTCTGTTGTTTGCACATGGAGAAACTACTGAGTGTGCAATCCAGTGCCCTCATCTTTTCACAGTAAACAGGACAATTCTTAGAAATTATGAGGTTCCATAAAAATGGAACTGCAGAGCATCTGAGAGATCCTGAACAAAGCACGGCCTTCGCATAAAGTGGCTGTAACTCCTGTTGCAGTGCACTTGGAGCAGGGTAGATGTTAGCCCAAAAAAATCTTCTGTTGCACAACATATTGTCTGGGTTATAGACAGGGGTTTGTTTCTCTGAAATCGTTACAAAGAAGAAATTTGTATGGCCAGTGGGCAGTGTGTTTAATTACCTTCAATTGCTGCCAATACCATTCTTGGATGGAAACACAAAGGTTTTCATTATGGGTTTTGGAAGATTCTAAATACTCTCCTACAGGGTAAGTCCTTTTTGCTAGGAGCATTTTCTGCCTGCTTCGCAAAAGATAGCGACAGAGTAGGGAAGCCTTTTGACAGTTCATATGGGGATCTCATTGCTATAATCTGCTCAGCTGTTTGGAGGACCCAGACAGGCCCCTCTGCTGCATGCACACAAGCTGTGATAAGCGCTGGGTTCCAAAAGAAGGGCACACATTGTCTCTGGACGTGCAGCAAGGAGTGCTCCAGAGCAAATTGCTCCCAAGCCTTCCCACATCCATCCTGCTCTGTTTTGGCTTGGGAACCTTGTGTTGAGACACCGCGTTTCATCTTGTCTGCAGCACCCACAGGAGAGTTAAGTCAGACTTTAGCCCTAGGCTGGGTTCCTCTGAAGCCATTATATCTGTGTTCCTCATGCTTTAAACCAGCAAAACCTGGTGTTGCTCTTTCCTTTAATCTTGCTAAGTGAAGTTTATTAATGGCAACTGAACAGAACTGTGATCAGATCAAAACTCAGCAGATCCTGGGGGAGAGGATGCTTTCTTTTTTTCTTTCTTCTTTTTGCCATCTTCTAGAAAAGCAAACAGATGAATGACCCAAAGAATGTGGAAATACCATTCCACCAGAATTGCTGTCAGTAAAAAATACACATGAGGCTGGGGAACTGCCTTGACTGCAGCCTTCCACTACCTAAAGGGGACAGTAAGAAAGATGGGGATAAAGATTTTAGCTGGACCTGTTGCAACAGGACAAAGGATAATGATTTTAAACTAAAAGAAGATGGATTGAGGCTAGATGTAAGGAAAAAATTTTTAGTATGAGGACGTTGAGGGCCTGGTACCAGCTGCCCAGAGAAGCTGTGGCAGCCCCATGCCTGGAAGTGTCCAAGGTCAGATTGGACAGGGCTTGGAGCAACTTGGTCCTGTAGGAGGTGTTGCTGCTTGTTGCTGGGGATTGGATTAGATGACCTTTAAAGGTCTCTTCCAATCCACACTATTCTATGATTCCATGATTCTATCTTTAGGGGATCTCTGGGGAACAAGCGCTTCATTCCTACTTTCTCTGTTATGCAGAAAGCAAAACACAATGTAATTCAATATTGTCAGCTCCAATCAGGATCTATGGCAACAACTGTGAAAATAGACAAGTCTTATTCTGCTCTGATTTCTTAGATTCCTGTTGACATTTGCAATGCTGTGCAATGCTGTGTTTTGGAACAAAATTACTGAGAAGAAAAATCGAATATTTTGCTCATATTATGGGGTTTTTTCCCACACCAGTATTCAGGATTGAATACCATTAATGTTCTTGTAAGGGTTCTACAGTCATACATATTCCAAAACAGGTTTCTGTAATCCTGAGGTCAGAATTTTCAATTTTGCAAGGTGGTGTGGCTGCATCTAGTGGCAGTTCATCTGAACTGCAGCCCTCTGCTTGCTGCAGCTGATACTTCAATCTGGATGTCCACACATACATAGGCATGTATACACACACATATTCCTGTCTGCACATACACATATATTTATAAAAGTCAAGCTTTTTAGCATGGTGTCACACATAGCTGCAGTCATTCATTATGAATTAGTTCTTACTGTTTGAAAAATTTAGGAGATTTAGTTTCATCAAATAGTCTCAGCAACAGGAACGTGCTGACACTTCTCTTCTGGGGCTGATTGGAGGAACAGAAATCATTTCACATGGTTTGGTCGTGGTTGCTAAATCTACCAGGCAGTGAACAGAGCTGTTTTGAAGTAGTTTAGTAATATACATAAAGCATGAAAATGTGAAGCTAATGCAAAACCAAGAAGTCTGAGAAGAATTAAAATACATTTCAAGTGATTGCATATAATTCTTTATCAGAATTGGTCAGAGTACCTGTATTTTCTGAAAAGGAGAAAGGAATATGGGTTTTCCATGTCTAAGAAGTGAACAGATTATCTATTTAGAACAGCTTTCAAGACCCACAGACACTTTGTTTCTAGTATAGTTGTTCACCATAGGTTTTTGTGGTAGTGTCATGGGGCACCCTGGTTTGGTTAATTAACAAAAACAAGGCAAGAAGGATTGAAGGTAAGAGTCAGGTGGCTTTTTCTGGTGCTGCTTTTTTTTTTTCAAATGGAAATAGCCATGGAAGTATGATAATGTTCTTTCCTTTTTAATCTCTTTCTGGGGCAAAATATTCCCCCAATTTCTCCAGAGGCTGAAGTGGGCTCTTGTATGGAGAAGACTCCAACCAGTACACTCAGACAATCTGATCTGGAGCAGATGAATAAGGTACAGTAACTAATATGCCATCTTATGACCTTGTTTTCCATTGGTGGCCTTTTCCCTTTTCAGTGGAGAGGTTTAAATATGAGAGATATCCACAGGTGTGTTTTACTACTGACTCCTATATCTTATGTAGGTAGTCACAGCTATATTATATATAAATATACATGCACACATATAAATGCTATTTATAGCTAATTTATATAGCTGTAATAGTTTGAGAGGATAAAGAGTGCAGAAGAGTTTTCACTGAAAGCTTTAGTTTCATACTTGTTAAGCTAAGGGAGTTGTAACCAAGCAGGTGTACAGTGAATTCCAAGATTTGCATATGGAATAGCTTTCTGAACTCAACTTGTGGTCTTTTCTGTGCAGCAGCTTGAGTGTGACTTTAGAATGAATAAGCCAAACTCTTTATGGTCCTAATTATTTTATCTCACTGCTGAGCTGCAGATCTAGCTGTGTTTAGCTTTTTGTAGCACCAAGGCCTAAAACAGGCAGTGGGGTTCAAATGAAGACTAAGCCATGTGTCTGAGAAAACAAATCACAGGGATGAAGCTTTTTCAAGTGAAAAAGGAGAGACGAGTGGAAGCAAAACAGAGAGCTGCAGGGGTTGTTTCCCCAGCACATTTTGGTTGCCACACAATTAAATCAGTTTGTTTCCTTGAGCCCTGAGTGTCCCAGGGGAGCTGTGATGGCTCCAGCCCCTGTGGTGCACACTCTTGTTGTGTGCTGTGGCCACAGCTTCAGAGCCCACCCAGCCAGATCAAGGCTCCCTGCGCTCCCAGTTTTCCTTATGCTGACACTTCTGGGAAGGCAGGCAGAGCAGCAGGAATGAAGCTGTTCTATACAGAAAATGCAGCTGAGTTTCTTGCCTTGCAAATTTATGGCGGCTGTGGCTGACAGAGGTGTTTGATAGCGGGATCAAGTCACTGTTTATTTTGTTTGTGTATAATTTGCTGTTTCTTCTGTCTTGGCTCTAATTTCAGAGTGTTGACTGCTTTCCTGGGGTTGGGCAAGTGACAGGAGATGCCACGGAGAAAAAAGATGACACAACAGCAGCAGGGACTTTAAACTCACAAGGTCCTGAAGAGGAGGACTTGGAACAAGGTGCAGGCGATGCTCAGCAACATAAAGGACTCAGGAAAAGAGTAGGTCCTGGGAAATCAGTTGGAGGCAAGGCCGCCAAACAATTTAAAATTACACCATAATTTCTATTTCAGAAATCAGCAAAATTCAGTGTGATCCTAAAAATTGTAATTGTTCTTAAGTTGTAACAGTGGAGAAATTTCTTGAGGTATGATGAAATTTTTTTTGCAGCACACATTCTTCATTTTATGTTTTGATTTTAAATAAAGCTTTTGTTTACTTAAGTGTCCTTTTCTTTCTCTTCTCACCAAGTAATTAAATAGTAGCTGAGCCTAGTTATTTCCCTGCTCTGAAAAGATTTTATTGAATTGCATGAGGTGTCCAAAGGGGAATAATTGGAGGGCTTGTAGGTACTGATGTGAGAAGATATTTCTATGGAAACCACATCCTGCATTATGGAAGAGAGATACCACAACACACGTTGGTATCAGAATGACAGTTGTAACCTTCCTTTCAGAGCGAACAATTGATCTTGAATTGCTTTCATTTGAGCTTTTCTAGCAGAAAAATCTGCCTTAAACCCTGTGGTGGACAGGATGGCACACAAAGGCCATTCATGCAGAAAAAGTTTGGTGCAGAGAAGAGTGAACAAGCTACGGGCATTAAACTGCTTTTCAGTTCAGGCACTGTGATAATTCTGTGTGCAAGCTCAGGGTGTAGAATTTCATGTAGATTCCATGTTACATGTGTTATTTCCTGTAGGCTCTTTCCTTACGTTTTGCATTCAATTAACTTGGAAATATCACATACTTCACTAGATTATCATGCTGTGGCTTGGTAAAGAAATTTTGCTCTTTTACCACAGGCTGGTTCTGTGCTAGAATATTTAATTTTATATTTTTTTTAGTGGGAAATTTCAGAAATCTGAATGTTGTGTTAATGAATTACAGGTGAAACTCGTAAGGATCAGATCTTTAGTCCAGTGGCAGAGAAGGCTTTGCAAAGAGGTGAACAGCAGGAGAGTCCTGATAATCCTGAACAGATCCAGCAGCCTGTAATTCTTAAGTGGCTGCCTTGGAACAAGGAGAGGTAGTTGTTTCTTTTCAGAAACTAATCCAGCATTTCCGGGGAGACAGTTCTGTGGGCAGGCATTGTAGGTACACTGTAGAGATGTGTATTTCTTTCCTTGTACAGCACAATTGCTCACACATAGCCCCATCACCCTGTTTTTGTTTATGATTTAATGTAGCATTTATTCATGTATCCAAGTAACTCCTTCCCTGTTGAGCTGCTCTGTAAACCATATGCCTGAGACACAGTAAAATCAGACCTTCCTAAGCATCTCTTAAAAAAATAAAAAAAAAAAAAAAAGCTATAATTGGAACTTACAAGTTTTTGCCAAGAGAATTAAAACATTGGATCGTGTGCCAGCCCTAATCACGTTGCTATGGTTCTCTTGTCGCCAAGAAAGTGTATTTAGGACTATAAAGTCGGTTGATCTTAAGGTTGTTGAAAAGTCACCAAGAGTGTGCTGTGAAGACTGCTTAGAAACTCCATGTCCTCCTGTGGAACAGCCTTTATATTCTTGTGAAAGGTATGGTTAAATACTTAAACCCAAATTTGTGAAGAGTTGCAATACCAGTTGCTTTGAAATATGATAGAAAATTATTATATCTCTGCTCATGAAAGGTGATCTGGACTTGCAATGGCCTGGCAAACTGAACTTATGTCCAGTTTGCACACTATATTATAATGGCAGAGTAAGGAAAATGGGTTGTTCTAGCAAGTGAGGAACATTTGCGGAATTTTAATCTGAATTTAAGTCTTTCAATAACATTTTATCTAAGAAGGCCTCAGAAAATTCTAAATGAATTTACATGAGGTTAAAGGAGAAATACAAGGTACTGTCTAGAATGGGCAGATGACTAGTTAGATTAAATTAATTCTTTATCTGGAGACACCTTTATTTACAGGATAAAACCATTAATTTTTCAAAATCCCCAAAATGGATTTCTGTTTTACCTATTGGCCAGTGATCCACAGCTACATTAAAAACCACTACTGGCTCTTCTCACAGAAAAATTGCTTCTTTCCTCTGTGTATGAATCTCTTTCCTTGGTTTTGTTTAGGTTTTTGTTTTCTAAGTGTCTCTTTGTGTTCTAAGTATCAAAAAGTCTCATGATGACAACTGAAGGAAGTAAAGGTGCATTTGCTGAGCTTGTGCTGGCAGGTGCTTGGATCTCTCTAATCAAACAAAGAGATCATCCTTCTCATCAAAACTTGTGACAATTACAGCCAGGAATTCTGAGGTCCTACTTAACTGTACTAAACTCCAGGGCTAAAGGTTCCAGGAGGGCAGAGGCTTGTTCCATGTTATTTCAGAAATGCTGATTTAAAGAACAATAGTCTGAATATTGATTTTGTTTCCTTTTTTTTTTTTATTGTTTTGTTATATTAGTGCTTTAAGATACCTGATCAATGTAGAAGCTTGGACCTACAACTCAATTCTCAGCAGTCTGAAGCACTGCTTAATAAGAGCAGAATAATCCTAAGAGGGTCTGAAGGAGAAAAAAATCCAATATTTTCACTGTCTTAATAGAACAGAGTAGGACAAACCACACCCCAACAGCAAAAACACTTTTTTTTTTTTTTTTCTCCTCACTGGAAGATCTTTTATTTAAAACAAATCTGCATTTACTTAGGGATAGGATGGTTTCAGGGTGCTGAAAAAATTGGCAAAGGCTTGAAAGAGCATTCCAGTTTTTGATGGGAACTTTTCAAAAGCTCAGATTTAATCTTTTTCTGAATCTACACTTTGGTCATGATGAGGCAGTGATGGTTCTGCTCAGGAGATAATGAGGTGAGTGTGTCTGAGAAAGGGGTGGCAGATCTGCTGAGAGGGGGCTTGTGTCAGTGCCTCTTACAAGCAGAGACACTCAAGTCTGGCCTGCAAATAAGATGTTAAACATCAAAATTAGTGTTAGCAGTCATCTGGTGGGTGTGTGCCAGCTGAAAAAAGGATTTGATTTGCTCTCAAGACAAGTAAACATATGGATTTTAAGGCTAGAAATTTCATTACGTTAATCTGTCATGTTTCACATAATGTAAGCCAGACAATTTCGTGCATGATTGCTGTGTCAAAAAATCATTGGTTTTGGTTGAAACAACCCATTTTTTAGAGGGATTGTTTTGATTTGGCAGTTTTGACTTTCAGATGTTGGGCAGTGGGAAATCTGCCATGTTTGTTGGCAAGTTGTTCTAAAGTTTTGTCTTTACAAGTGCATCCAGTTTCTTTAGTCTGAATTAATTTTGTTTCAGCCTCCTGTGATGGATTTTGGTTTTCTGTTTGACACAGAGCTGTGGCTCTGGTACTGTCAAGATGCTTTCAAATGTGGGGATGGAGACCTTGTGGTCTGTCACGACATCAGTGAACGGCACTGGGTTTTGGATCTGCCTCTGTGGGGCAGCTTTTCCTGACCTTGCTGCATTCTTCTTGTCCTTTCAGATAGATTTTCAATTTTTCAAATTCCTTTTAGCAGCCGAAACATCATCAGAGCCCCCATCCTGGCCCCGGTCACGCTGAGCGATGTGGGGCTGCCGTGACCTGTGCTTGTAAATCATCACGGAATTCTCTTGTGCTTTCAGACGACTGTGCCTGTAAAACTTAACCAATCTGTTTTGAGGTCTGGTTTGTGATCTCTGCGCTGTAAATGAAGCCTTTGCAGCTTCACCTGTCTCAGTACCACGAGATGGCACCATTACACAGCACAACGCTGCGTCATCTCTTGGGGCTGCAGACCGTGCCCGGGGTTTAAATGCATCCCGGGTTGGCTTGGCTTCCTCGGGAAGGAGGATGGGGATGTGGTAGAGCTTGTCTTGGGTTTGTTGTTCAGGCTCATTTGTCTGTGGATGTTGTCTCCAGCAGGGTCCAGGATGATTTTTTCAAGTATTGGTGAAGTCAAGGTGAGGTCGGAGTAGCACAAAATTCAAATTGCACACAAGTTTTGCCCCTTTGTACTCGTGTCTCATCAGGAACCCTGGGTGTGACTTTCCATGTTGTATCTCATTGTTTCCCAGCAGATGATTCTGGCTCTGTTGTGCAAAATTTTTAGATGTTTGGGAGTAGAAATTAACACTAAATAACCACTTTTGACTTGTATGACTTGATTCTGAGAAGTGAGCCATCCGAAAGTCTGCCAAACAGGTAGGTGCCAAAGTAGAAGAGAATCAGGGATGTTCAGACTCATATTTTAGTGTCCTTTCCTATGGATGAAGAAGGGAGTGAACAGTGTAAACTTCACCTGCCTGGATACTTCTTAACATTTGCATATTAAGGAGGTTTGCAGAAGAAGGGGAAAGTAAAGTGTCCAAATTGAATTTCTGCTTTGTCAGTTTTATTGCTCAACTGCATAAACAAAGAATGCATCCAGCTGTAGTTCATTGTTTCTTACTGTCTTAGGCCTTTATGTATTTCTTGCTGCAGATGAGCATGCAATGAAATTTAAGTACATGGGAAACAAAATTAGGAGTTTGTAATTAGCCTGCTTTGCTATTTGTTTCCTTTTGCAGTCCAGCTTGATAGTGAAGTCCCAGTTTAATCTCCTCTATTTGCATTAGGCTTTGACTTTTTCTATTTTGAAGGTCGTTGGGTTTGGGTTTTTTTTTTGGCGGTGTTTTTTTAAGAAGTCTTTTTGGTTTTAATTTAAACTGAAGGCTCCATTTTTGGAAGATCAATAAACTCCATCTGGAAGAATTCTTTTCTCCCAGCCACCTGACACTTAGATGAAGTTGAACTTTTTCTTTTCTCTTTTTTGTTTTTTTTTTTTTTTTTTGCATTCTCAGGGAGGAGATCAGAGGCTGTATTCACCATGATGAGAGTGTTTGGGGATGTTAGCATTCATTCACCAACATTGGATTTGTAAATTAATAGCTCAGCCTCTCTGGACTGTGGTATGTTAAAGGTCAGTGACCATGAGAGGAGAAACACTTCAGAGCTCTCTGTGCCCTCTGGTCAGCACAGTGGCCTTGGCTTAATGGCTTTAATTTCATGCTGCTTTTAAAAGATACAGATGTGCAGCATATCTTCAGTCCTCCTACCTGGAACCAGTAATCCTGTCCCAGCTTTCTGCAAGGAGCAGGGAGGGAGAACACAAAAACCCTTCCTAAAAGGATTACTTGAACTGGCTAATATTCTGAGTTTCTTCTTGCTTGGCATGTCCCC